TTTATTCATTCATTCATTCATTCATTCATTCATTCATTCATTCATTCATTCATTCATTCATTCATTCATAATATTTTTTACACTGCATTTCTCCTTAAAAAGGACCCAAGGTGGCTTACATCATTCAAAGACAACATTTACAGCTGAAAACAGTAAGTATACAAATATTTAAAAGGAACAAGCAAGCACCACTATGAGAAATAGCAAATGGAAGTAGTACTAAACACCCAGTCAAAGTAGGAATGCATAAGAATCCACCTAAACATCACACTCAGGTAGCCAGGCATGGAGGAAGGCTTGCCTGAAGAGAAGGGTCTTTGCCTGTGTGAAGAAGGACAGCAATGATGGGGCTAGGCTGGCCTCTTGTGGGAGGGACTTCCAGAGTCTGGGAGCAGCCACAGAGAAGGCTGTTTGCTGTGTCCCCATGAAACTCACCTGTGAAGGTGGAGCGACCAAGAGAAAGGCCTTTCCTAATGATCTTAGTACCTGAGGCAGCTCATAATGGGAGACACGGTCTTTGAGATAGCTTGGGCCCAGGCCATTGAGAGCTGTATAGGTCAAAACCAGTGCTTTGATTTGTGTCTAGAAACAGATTGGTAGCCAGTACAGCTGCTGTAATGGGGGTGGGTGGGTTATGTGATCCCTGTAACGAGTCCGAGTCAGGAATCTGGCTACTGCATTTTGGACTTGCTGAAGTTTCCTAACATTTTCCATTGGCAGCCCCATATAGAGCATGTTACAGTAATCAAGCCGGGAAGTAACTAGGGCATGTGTCACAGAAATGGATGTAGATGGTGCACTAGTTTTAATTGTGCAAATGCACTCCTGGCCACTGCCAAAACCTGGGTATCCCGATTCAGAGATGAATCCAGGAGCACCCCCAAGCTGCATACCTGTATTTTCAAGGGGGGTGTCTTCCCATCCAGTACCAGCTGCATTCCTGTTCCTTGATCTGCCTCTCAACTAACCAGAAACATTGCTGTCTTTTCTGGATTAAGTTGTAGTTTATTGGCCTTCATCCAGTTCATTACTGATACCAAACTCTGATCTAGAGCCAAAATAGCTTCCTCGGGTTTAGGTGGCAAGGAAAGGTAGAGTTGGGTGTCGTCCACCTACTGGTGACACCGAACCTCAATCTCTACCATTTGTCTAACTTTCTGAAGGTTCAGGATATCCACAAAGCTCTCTTCCATCAATATATTTTAAACGAATTGATTTTCTTGTCATCTTTTTTCACTGCCCAGCTTTCACTATATAGTAAATGGGCATACAAGAGTGTGGATAGTTTTGGTCTTGGTCTTGAATGACACATCCTTTCACTTTATGATCTTTTCTAATTCCTTCATTGACGCCCTTCCTGGTCTTAGTTTTCTTCTGATTTCTTGGCAACAGTCTCTATTTGGATTGTTGATTTGAGGCCACATGGCTTGATTGCACCAGAAAGGGTCACTTTAATGGGATCTACAGTGGTGCCTTGCTTGACGAGGATAATCCGTTCCAGATCGCTGTAGAATGAAATTGTCGTCAAGCGAAAGTAAAAAAGCCCATTGAAATGCATTGAAAACCGGTTCAATGCGTTCTAATGGGCGAAATACCTCAGCGTCCAGTGAAGATCATCCTTAGGGCGGCCATTTTCCGGCGCTTGTAAAGCGAAAAAGCCTTCCTAAACACAGCGGGAAGCCATTTTGAAACCTGACAATCAGCTGTTTTGATCGCCATAAAGCGAAAAATTGGTTCCCGAAGCAGGGAACTGATCATCGTCAAGCGGTTTTTCCCTATTAAAACATTGTTTTGTGAACGCTATAGCGATCGCAAAATACTCATTGTTAAGCGATTTCCTCAATTAATGAGGTAATCGTCAAGCAGGGCACCACTGTATATAATTTAAAGGGACCCTTTCATCTGCCAGGGAATAGCTCTAACCCAGCCATCAAATTTAGAAACCCTACAGCTGGACCAAAAATGTCCAGTTTGGAATGGAATGGAACAAAAGATAGTGCCAGAAGGTGAAACTCCCAAGCTGAAAAGCACTCCATCAGCTACTGGGAAAGAGCAAAGGACAAGTACATACAACACTGTCACTAATGACACAACTAGATTGACGCTGAAAGGGCTTCTAGTGACTGACATGCACAGAAGTGAAAGAAAAGTCTAATGCTGCACAACACGTACAATTAGAACATGGAATGTTAGAAATAGGAATCAAGGTAAACTGGAAACCATAAAGCAAGAAATGGAACATATTGTCATGAGTTCAGCTGAAGAAAAGAAGATCAGAGGGGTTAATTACATTTGAGGAAAATGCTGGATGAAAATAGAGTCAGAACCCTGAATACATGGGTTTTAGTGACTGTCACATAGAGATAAAGAGCATTATAAGATAACCAGTGCAAAGAAACAGAACAACAAAATGGGAAAAACAAGAAATCTCTTCCAGAAGATCCAAGAAATCAAAGAGAAATTTAAGCCTAGATTAAGAGTGCTGAATGACCAATGGGGAAGTACACTATCTTACCAGAATCAAATAAAAAGAAAATGAAAGCAGTAGACTGAAGAGATAAAAGGATGACAGACTCATATGAAGAGGAATTCTATCAAGAAGAACCTGCAGTTCTTGAAAATGAGCTGAAAGCTACTCTGAAAGCACTAGATAGAAATAAATCACAATGGATAAATAGAATACCAGTAAAACTACTTCAAGCCACAGAGACTGAATCTGTCAAAATCCTAACAAGAATACGCTAACATATGAAAAATTACAAAATGGACTATGGACTGGAAAAATTCAATATACGTTTTAACCCAGAAATGCCTGAAATTCAACCTGGATTCCAAAAAGGAAGAGGCATCTGAGATCATATTGGAAATATGGCTACTGGCTACTGGAGCGCACCAAAGAATTTCAGAAGATCACTCTGTACTTTACAGACTACAGAAAAGCCTTTGACTGTGTAGATCATGAGAAATTATGGATTGTTCTGAAAGAAACTGGTGTATCTCAGCACTTGGGATGTGGTAGCGCTGCGGGTTAAACTGCAGAAGCCTCTGTGCTGCAGGGTCAGAAGACCAGCAGTCGTAAGATCGAATCCACGCGACAAAGTGAGCCCCCGCCGCTTGTCCCAGCTCCTGCCAACCTAGCAGTCCGAAAGCATGTAAAAATGCAAGAAGATAAATAGGTACCAACTCGGTGGGAAGGTCATGGCATTCCGTGTCTAGTTGCGCTGGCCACGTGACCACAGAGACTGTCTTCAGACAAATGCTGGCTCTATGGCTTGGAAATGGGGATGAGCACCATGCCCTAGAGTCAGACACGACTGGACTCAAGGTCAAGGGGAACCTTTTACCAGCACTTGATTGTCCTAACCTGTATCGTGAACAAGAAACTACCATTAGGACAGAATGTGGAGAGACAGAATGGTTTCGTAAATGGAAAGGTGTTCAATCAAGGGTGTGTTTTATCCTTCATCTGTTCAACCCATAGGCAGAACATATATAGAAACTCAGACTAGATTCAGGTAAAGGAGTGAAAATTGGTAGAAGAAATATCAATAATTTAAAATATATGGATGATACCATACTCCTGGCAGAAAGCAACAATGACTTGAAACAAGTCCTATTGAAAATGAAAGAAGAAAGTGCCATTAGCAGGACTGCTGTTGAACATTGAGAAGATAAAAACCATGAATGCAGAAGAACTACACAACTTTAATGCTCACAATGAAGAAATTGACAGTGTTAAAGATTTTTTATATCTTTGTTCAATCATCAATCGAAATGGAGACTGCAGCCAAGAAAGCAGAAGACTGAATCTCAGGGTAGCAAGGAAGACATTAAAAAAGATAAGAACTTATGTCTTCCTGTATGGGTGTGAAAGCTGGACGATAGAGAAAACTGACAGGAAAAAAATGAGTCCTAGAACAAAGCCTTTGGAGGCAAAAATGATGAAGTTGAATCTGTCCTATTTTGGGCACATCATATGAGATTTAAAAGTTTTTGAAGAAAACTTGCCTCACAAGACAAATTTAATTCGTTCCGTGGTTAATGTTGTCTTGCGAAAAATTCATCTTGCGAAACGCGTTTTCCCATAGGAATGCATTGAAATCTAATTAATGTGTTCCTATGGGCAAAAAAAGTCAGAACAAAGTCAAATTTGGTTCACAAATGGTTTATTAAATGCTCTTTAAAGCCATACACATTGTGCAGATGATTTTAAAAATTTCAATCAAAAAACTTTAACTTTTTAAACATCATAGAAAAACATTTAAAAATCAGCAAACATTAAAAATTATAGTGAACAGTAAGGGGATAATGCAGAGTGCTTTGGAGTTTTACAAAATTAAGGAAAATATAGAAAATTTGTTTTTCAAGGAAAATTTAAAGGATGTTACTAAAAGCATAGATGACCTATTTTTAAATAATATGTTGCAATGTTGGAAGACATATAAGAGAATATTGAGACCAAAGGTTTCCTCATTGACCAACATGGTGGAATTACACAGTTTCCCAGATCACCTGAAGATGAATTTAAATAAAGTTTTGTTAGAACATAACAGATTGGAATAGATATACAAAGGTGTCTGATGTTATAGCATTGTTAAAAATATTTGGAAACAGTAAATTAGATCGAGGAAAAATGGAACTAATTGTTATTATGTCAACAAAAGCAAGATCAATATTTGCAAGGAATTGGAAAAATTAATAGTCAATTGATGCTCGTTCTAGGACTCATTTTGATGTTGGAGGAGTGATACAATGAGATGTGGAATCTAGCTATTAAAGATAAATTAACTTGTGAATTGAAAGTTAGAAAGAACGTCATTGAAAGAAAATAGGTTTAATGAGATGTGGAACCCTTATATAGAATGCGTATTTACAAAACAAAGGTCATGCCACAAGAATCATTTTATTTTTGGAAAGAGACAGGGTACATGATGAAACATATCAATGAAAGTATATACAGTGGTGCCTTGCTTAACGAGCACACCGTTTAACGACGAATCCACATAGCGACCTTTTTTTGCGATCGCTAATGCGATCGTATTGCGATGTTTTAGGTGGCTAAACATTGCATTGCGATGATCGGTAAGCATTTCGCTTACCGATTATCGCATTGCGATGATTTTTAAACAGCTGATCGGCGGTTCCAAAATGGCCGCCGCATCCACAAAATGGCTGCCCGCAGTGTTTTCGCGCCCTGCCCTCGCTTACCAGGCAGCGAAAATGGTGGCCGGATGGAGGATTCCCTGCATAGTGGTGAGTTTTTCCCCAATAGGAACGCATTAAATGGAGTTCAATGCGTTCCTATGGGTCCCCCCCCCGCATAGCGATGAATCCGGATAGCGACGTTAATCCTGGAACGGATTAACGTCGCTATGCGGGGCACCACTGTACTGTATATATTCCTGATGGTGGTGGGTTGGACTGTATACTTGAGTTGTGATTCTATTTGTCATTTATGTTTTTGTTATATTTTGTTATATTAATAATAATTAGAAAAAAACTATTTGTAGCTTCTGAACACTTTGCAAGGGCAGCCCCACACTGATTAAATCACAGTAGTCTAATCCAGAGTTAATTAAAATATGGATCACTGCAGCTAAGTCTGCCTTTCCTATAAATTAAAATCATAGTTTAAGCCATTGCAGTTACTAGGAGTAGGCATAATTGAGGAGAATCCCACATATTTCATTTAGATAACGAGCTCTAAATTGATGCATTTCTGGCGAGTGCTAACTCAATACTTAGTTAATATGTTAGACTTCTTTGTGTAATTAATTATTGACTGTTCACTAGCAGCAAACTTTAACTTGAATAAATAGCCTATTCAGGGAAAAAAATTATATAAACTTCTTGACCTTGGACTTGAATTTTGTAGCTCTTCCGTACTTAAGTTACTCTTTAACCCCGGCATGGGAAATGGGTGGTCATCTATAGGTTGTTGGCCTGCATTTCCCAGCAGATGCATTGAAAAAAAGACAGTAAGGTTGGGAAAAGCTGAAAGTAGTAGGAAAGGAGGAAGACCAAACCAGTAAAGGAGGCCACAGCCTTTCACAAGACCTCGACTGGGTTGTTAATGATAAGAATGTCTGAAAGGCATTCATTCACAGGAATGCCTTAATCAGAAGTAACCTAATGACATGTAACAACATTCAGCATGTTTAGTTCCTTTTTTCTTGGTATCTCATAGGAAAATATTTTTTTGAAGCAGGCTGGTTAGCAATTTCTCAATAGGTGTCTTAGCAATTCTGATAGAACTCACTCAATTATTTTTACAAAAATCAGTGTAACCTTTTGAGATTTATTTATGCTTTGCACCCACAATGTTTACAGCAGAACAAGGGAAGGATGCAATCATCCTCCCATAGGAACAGATCTCGCATGGTACAGATCTGTCTTTGAGCCTGGGATGACTTAAGACTCGCTGAATCTGCGCGGAAGAGAGACCACTAATTTCCGTGGAAGCTTCTTGCAGGCTAAATATCTGAACTATTCCGTGGTACAGATCTGTCTTTGAGCCCACCCCTGGGATGACTTAAGACTTGCTGAATCTGCATGGAAGAGAGACCACTAATTTCCGTGGGAGTTTCTTGCAGGCTAAATATCTGAACTATTCCAGTCTCAGGGTGGAATCCTTAGCAGCCAATATGGCCGAGGAGTGGCTGAACTGGCATTAGGCCAGCTGAGTTACACCAGCACAGAGAGATTCTAGCTGTTCCAAACCCCAACAGCCAGTGTATCTCTGAGTTTGGATTGCACTGGCGTTTAGCTGCCCGGCCTTGCCCATAAATGAACACAGAGGGGTTGGAAAAATGCAGAGATGGGCATAGTTGTTGTTGCTACTGCTGTCACCAGCATTGTCCTCATGGACAACAATTCCCAGAATAGAAGTGGTAGGAGCTGGCAAGGCCACCAGGCAGAAACAGGAGGACATCCCACTTAAGAGAAGGAACTAGAAAAGATCTTTGTTTTCTGCTATCAACGTATTTATCTGGTCCCACCAGAAAACTCATTTCGTTGGAGAAAAGGAAAATGCAAGTCTGTTGCACAGGTGAAAGCTCAAAATTAGTTTAATGATGTTGTTTCCCATAATATATAAGAACACGATAACATTTCGCCAGAAGACCCCCAGCAAAAGGTGGAAAGGAAAAGAAAATCAAAATTTACATTGGGAAAATTTACAGAGGAACAGGATGGTAGTAAGAATAGTCCTTAGCAATAATCTGGGTAATTTGGATGGACTGCCATCAATAATTGATTTATTTCTGAGGTTGTGAGGGTACAGAATACAGTCTATAATAATGGTGAAGAATCTGTAGCTGTCCAGATGTTGTTGGCTTATAAATCCCTGATCAGCATCTATGCTGTCTTTAAAATGATGGTTGGATTGCTGGAGGCTTCCCCATTCCTGATCATGATGGCTATATTGCTGTAGACCTCAATCTGGGAGTAAATCCCATTAAACTAATTGGTGCTTACTTTTGAATAGGTTTACATAGAATTAACATAATTAAAGGACAAGATAGGAGACAATGGGTTTATTGGCTGCATTTTAGAACACAGTTGTTTATGATGCTGCATAAGACACATTCGCTCAGGATTTATATAAAATGTTCAGCAATTAGACAGTATTTAATATTGTGCGGAAATGTCTGAGTACTGGCTGGCTTATCTATTGTTATGATAGTTGCTAAGGTGTAACTTCATATCAGATTTGCAAAGCCAGAGGTTGGGAGTTTAATTCCCCGCTGCGCTTCCTCGGATGTTTTCCCTCATAGAAGATAGATGCACTTATGTATTTGTTGACGTTAGATCTTTTCCCATTCTTGTTTCCTTAATACACTCCGCAGAACTTTACCCGTAACTGTCTTTGGTAGTTCTTGGACAAACTCAATCTGTGTAAGGAGAGAAAGATAGTTGAATTGGTTAGTTAAATTGATGTATCCTTTTCCTCTAATGAGCTCTAGATGACATATGTGGCTTTCTTTCTGTCAGTCGCATGTGAGGTAAGTCTGGAAGAGAAGGAAAATGACTAGCACAGGGTCACCAGAAAATTCAATAGTTCACAGCTTGTGGAGGGAATGGTTAATTATAACTTCCCAGAATCCCACAGCTAAGTTGACCACTGGCTATCCTGCCAGGGGCGAGTGTGGACGTTGATGTCTCCAGGTTTTGAACTTGAAGATCTCCAATACTTGAGCCACTATGTCAAATTGTGTGGTGTTACTTCTTACAGCTGTGTCTTTACCTACCTTAATATCGGCGGGAGCTGTCAAGACTAGATAGCCCAAATCCACTTCCTTGCCCCAACTAGAGTAGACCCATTGCTAAATGATGAGTCAACCATTGTGTAAGCACCACAGATTCAATTTATTTATTTAAAATAATTTTCCCCTGCCTTTCTCCTTAAATAGTACCTAAGATGGCTTACCTCATTAAAAACACAATTTTAAAAGCTATGTGTGTTCTGTGCAGTCAGGTCAGAACGGAGTTACAGCAACTCTAATTGAATTATTCAAATTATTAGGAATAATGACATGTTAATAATGGTAAACAGAGATTTAGAAGCAACAACATATAGATCATCCCAAAGTAGCTTTAACATCTGTTATTATGAAAAGTTTTGAGAGATTGGTGCTGGATTACATTAAGGCTGGTCTTCCACCTTCTTTGGACCCATGGCAATTTGCATGCAGGAGAAATAGATCTACTGATGATGCTGTGTCCATCGTACTCCATACTGTATTGAGCCACTTAGAACAACAGGGAACTTATGCGAGGCTGTTGTTTGTGGATTATAGCTCTGCTTTTAACACCATTCTACCAAATAGGTTGTTTTTTAAAATGATCAACCTGGGATTACCTCAGGAGATCTGCATGTGGATAAAGGATTTTCTGACAGATAGGCCACAGTCAGTAAGGATGGGATCCCACCATTCTTCTACCCTGGTACTAAGTACAGGAGCTCCCCAGGGCTGCGTGCTAAGTCCCTTCCTCTATTCCCTGTACACACATGATTGCACCCCACTATATAACACCAATGCAATTATTAAATTTGCGGATGATACGACAGTGGTGGGACTCATAAATAAGAACAATGAGTCTGCTTATAGAAAGGAAGTACAAAGACTGATACTATGGTGTAAAGAAAATCATCTCACACTTAACATCAAAAAAACTAAAGAACTCATAATTGATTTTAGGAGGAAGAGAAATGTACATTTACCACTGTACATAAACGGTGAGGAAGTGGAGAGAGTTGGTAGTTTTAAATTTCTGGGTACTTACATCTCAGAGGACCTCTCATGGACTATAAATGCCAACATGCTAATAAAGAAGGCACAGAAGAGGCTGTATTTCCTGAGAATGCTCGGGAAGTTAAATTTATCACAGCATTTACTTCTGTCCTACTACCGTAGCACCATTGAGAGTGTCCTAACTTATGGCATTCTGGCATGGTTTGGGAGTAGCTCTGTAGCGGACAAAAAAGCTCTACAGAGAACCATTAAAATTGCCCAGAATATCATCGGGCTCCAGCTACAACCCTGGATGACATCTTCACATCCCGCTGTCTAAGGAAATCACATAGCATCCTGAGAGACTCTTCCCATCCTGCTTATAACTTTTTTGAACTGTTACCGTCTGGCAGAAGATATAGAACAATTAAGACTCGGACCACACGTTTTCTAAATAGTTTTTATCCTAGAGCTATAATTACAATTAATAATGAGCTTAAAGACCACCAGTAGTGAATAATTAGTTTAGTGGGTGGGGAGTGTTGGGGATTTTTTTTAGTGGGTGGGGAGTGTTTGGGGAATTTTATGTGTGTGCATGTGTCTGGTCTCTGGATGTCTGTGAATTTCATTGTATGGGTATACAGGACTGTGTATATACTTACAATGACAATCAATCAATCAATAAATGATTTACTATCTCCTAGACTGTCAGTGACTAAGGAAAACCCTACCTGAAGAGAAAGGTCTTAGCCTACTTGTGGAAGGAGAGCAAAAAGGGGGGCCAGCCTGGGTCTACTCTAGCCAGAATTACCAACTGGATTCATACCATAGGTTTTTACTGATATGAAATAATGTTTTTCTTCTGGAGTCATTTAAAAACAAAACAAAACACATCAAAAACAGGATTGCATTATGTTCCACGTAAACATATAATGGACAAAGATAAATCTGAACTGAACTGGAGTTGCTTTGGAGATGTCAGGATCTGCTCTGACAGAGTCACTGCTTTGGAATCACTTGGGACCTGAAGGGATATGCTGGTGGTGCCTATTGAAGAGGGTAAAATATTTGTGAATCTCCCCTTATATTGAAGGACAACAGAAAGAGAAGATTCACCATTAGAAAAGTGAGTCACAAGCACTGATTGCAAGAAGTACGATCTTTCTCACATGCACATACTGCCCTTCTATAGTCTCTCTGCTGGGAGGATACTTGCCTTTCTAGGATACTTGTAGGGAGCTGTGGCTTTCTTCACATGATCTTGGAGTTCCTTGATTAATTTTTCTGGGTCATGTGATGAAAAGGCAGGAGATAAGACGACAAAAGCTTTCACCACCTACAGGATGCCAATTATACATGTATTAATGGCAGAAAAACATCACTGGCTCCATTGTACTTGGGTTCTTGGTGTACAGTGGTGCCTCGCTTAACGATTGCCCCGCATTACGATGAATCCGCTTTACAACCATCTTTTTGCGATCGCAAAACGATGGTCTAAATGGGGGAGTTTTGCTTAGCGGTGATTGGTTCCCTGCTTCGGGAACCGATTTTCACTTTACGATGATCAAAAACAGCTGATCGCCGGGTTTTCAAAATGGCCACCGGGTGCTTAAAATGGCTCCCCGCTGTGCTTAGGGACAGATTCCTCACTATACAGGCAGCGAAAATGGCTGCCATATGGAGTATCTTCGCTGGATGGTGAGTTTTTACCCAATTGGAATGCATTGAACGGGTTTCAATGCGTTTCAGTGGGGTTTTTAATTTTGTTTTACAATGTTTTCGCTTAACGGTGATTTTCCTGAAATGAATTATCATTGTTAAACGAGGCACCACTGTATTGGCCTGTAGATTACGTTAGCCAAGAAACATGGAGTCTGTAGCAAAATGACCAGAATTCAATTTATGTGATGGCCTGCTGTTGCAAAAGCAAGACAGAGTCTTGAGGGCCATTGAAGACCAACATATTAGAATAATGGAGTTGGAAAGGGCCTATAACACGATGGAGTCCAAGCCCCTGCTCAATGCAGGAATCCTAATCTAAGCAGATCTGACAGATGGCAGTCCAATTTTCTCTTGAATGCCTCCAGTGTTCAAGTGCTCACTACCTCGACATGTAATCGGTTCCATTGTTGTACTGCTGTTTCACAAGAGGTTTTTCCTGTTATTCAGCCTAAATCTAGCTTCCTGAGGCTTGAGCCCATTAGTATATCTCCTGCACTCTGAGAACAGATCCTGCCCCTCCTCTATATGACCATCTCTCAAGTTTTTGAACGGTGCTATCATACCTCCCTTCTGTCTTCTTTTCTCAAGGCTAAACTTGCCCAATTCTTTCAACCTTTCCTTGGCCTCCAGTCCCTCGATCTTCTTTGTTGCCCTCCTCTAAACTTCTTCCAATTTGTCGCCATCCCTTCTTTAAATGTGGTGTCCAGAACTGACACAATACTCAAGATGAGCCCTAACCAGTGCCAAACAAAGGGGAACTAGAACTTCACATGATTTGGAGACTATTCTTCTGTTTAACCAGCATCTGCCTTTTTTTGTTGTCTCATCACATTGTTGACATGTATTCACCTTGTGATCTACAACCATTCCAAGATCCTTCTCACATGCAGTATTGCTGAGCCAAGTAACTTGCAACTGTGCATTTATTTCCCCCCCCCCAGATGAAGAACTTTGCACTTATCCTTATTAAATTTTATTCTCCTGTTTTCAGTCCAGTGTTTGAGCATATCAAGATTTTTTTAAACTTTGTTTCTATCTTCCAGGATATTAACTATTCCATGCAATTTTGTTCCTACATAAATTTGATAAACATTCCTTGCACCTCCTCATCCAAGCACCGGGCCCAGGACTAAGGTTTGTGATAGCCCACTTGTTACCTCCTCCCAGACTAAGAAAGAACCATTGATAAGCACACTCTGCAGATTACTCTATAAACATCTGATAGTTGTTCTATTAATCCCATGCCTAATTATCTTGTTAAGCAGAATATCCCAGGGCACTCTGTCAAAAGCTTTGCTGAAGTCAAGATCCAGTGCTGCCTTGCTTAGTGATGTTAATCCGTTCCGGAAGAATTGCTGCTAAGCAATTTTGTCGCTAAGTGATATTAAAAAGCCCATAGAAACGCATCGAAACCCATTCAATGCTTTCCTATGGGCTTAAAAACTCATCTTAAAGCGAAACCCCTCCATAGCGCCGCCATTTTTGCTGCCTCTAAAGCGAGGAAAAAGAGCGGGCGGCCCTTTTGTTTTCCCGGTGGCCATTTTGAAACCGCCGATCAGCTGTTAAAAATGGGCGCTTTGCGATGATCGCTTCCCCCCGATCAACCACAGGGACCATTGCTAAGCGATCGCTTTTGCGATGGCAAAAAGTCAATCACAAAGCAATTTTGTTGCTCAACGGAGCGATTGCTAAGCGAGGCAACACTGTACTGTATATTATTTCTACAGCATTCTCACCAGCTGCTAAGGATGTTACCTGATCAAAAATCTTTCTTTCTTTCTTAGTATCAAGAATGTTGCACAATTTAAAATTATAGGTAAAATTAGAAAAAAATTTGAACTGTTAAAATGATTAGACTATTTTTGAACAGAAGTGGGCTACTTCAACAGCCTCATCACCGCCATTTACTAGATCTCCTTTTGTACACATGGTGGGTTATCAATTGCATGTACATCAAGGAGAGAAGATTAGCTTCGCAGGATTCATTCTTGACAAATTGGTGTTGGCTTCTAGTTATCATTGCATAGTTTTCAGGATGCTTACAGACTGCTTTGTAATATGCTCCAAAATTCTCCCTGGGATTGATATCAGGCTGACAGGTCTGCAGTTCTCAGGTTCCTCCTTTTTGACGATGGGGACATTAGCCCCTCTCCAGTCATCTGCCACCTTACCCATTCTCCATGATGTCTTAACTCAGATCCTGATTCCCTTGGGTATTACCTTCTGTTGCAGCTCAGATCCCATATCTTCTGTTTATACATCTGTCCTGTTGTCCTTGAAACTTACCCAAGAGACCTGGGAAGGTCTCCTTCTCTCTCTGGTACTCAGAAACCTCCCTTAATAGAGTCTTGCAAATCTTGAAAATACAGATATCCATGTGGGAGTGAATGCCTTGGAATGTGGGATGCTTCCATAGAGTACAGTGGTGCCTCGCTTAATGACATTAAATTGTTCCAGCGAAATCGCTGTAGAGCGAAAATGTTGTAAAGCGAAATAAAAAAGCCTAATGAAATGCATTGAAAATCGTTCAATGCATTCCAATGGGCTGAAAATTCACCATCCAACGAAGATCCTCCATAGGGGCGGTCATTTTTGGTCCCTTTACAGTGAGGAATCTGTCCAAAAACAAGCGGGGAGCCATTTTGAGCACCCGGTGGCCATTTTGAAAACCCGACGATCAGCTGTTTTGATTGTCGCAATGCGAAGAATCGGTTCCCGAAGCAGGGAACTGATCTTCGCAAAGCGGAAAACCCCCATTTAAAACATCATTTTGCAATTGCAATTGCAATCGCAAAAACATTGTCATGAAGCGGATTCGTCGTTATACGGGGTAATCGTTAAGTGGGGCACGACTGTATTCTCTGATGGCCCTTGCAGATGTTTCTCCTCCTTTCAGCTTTACCCAACACAGCTAAGGGATCACTGGATTTGCAGTCAGAAAATATGCAGAGGCCACAGTTGGCCATATTTGCATTACTGTGTGAAACAGACACTAAATAAAAATTGGCCTAAATCTTCTTGCAGGTCCCAACTAGAGTAGATCCATTCAATCAACTGTTGAATGGTAAATCTTACTGATTCACTGTGTCTACTCTAGCTGTGACTATCAACTAGATCTAGGACACTGCTATTACATTACCACTACCACCATCTACTTGCAAATAAGTTTGGGGGAAGGATTTAGAGATCAGGGCCGGCTCTGCCATTGACCTGAATGACAGAAACACATGAGGAAGCAGATGTTGGGGAGACAGTGATGGGAAACCTGCAGCTGTTCATTCTGCTCACGATTGGCCTGAATGACAGAACCACACAAGGAAGCAGATGTTGGGGGGGGACACTAATGGGAAACCTGCAGCTGTTCATTCTGCTCCCTTTCCATCCATTTTGAACAGATTTGCAACATAACATGGCCTGGGTCTACTAAACTATCCAGCTGAGCCCAGGTATGGTGGCAGATCCATCCTATTGCCAGCGTTGAATCAAGTTCAGATGTCCAGTTCAGTTGGCTTTTGTATGTCCAGTGGAGGGTGCCATTTTGTGTTTTGCTTCAGCAGCAAAACATCTGGGATTCAAGGAGATCAGCATGACTGTAAGTGAGGGAAAGAGATATTCCCACTACATCATGCTACTAGTGACGTAATAGCTCGGTGGGTTAAAGCATCATTTTGCAGAGCCAGAGGTTAAGAGTGCTGCTCCCCACAGTTTTCTCCTGCGAGAACAGTTAACTTGTGCAGCAAGCCGCAGACCAGCACCAGGAGGAGGGGCTGGTAAACCACTTCTGAGTGATGCATACCTTCAGAACCTGAGAAAGGTGTCCCTAAGTTAGGAACTTCTCAGTGGCACATAGCCAATGACTTAAGATTATTCAAAATCAAGCTCAGTGTGGGGGTGAAAGTGAGCCTTGTTCTGGCATCTCCATTACCTCGCCCCTGGCAGGATCTGGGCTGCTGACGACAGCAGATTCAACAACGGCCGGGTGTTCTTGCAAGGCGCTTTCCACTTCGAAGGGGCCAATGCGGTATCTGTGAAGGAGAACACAGGAAGTCCAAAGCCATACCTCAGTGGACAAACAGAAGCAGGCGAGCCAAGGAAACCCCAGCCAAAATGAACCTACCCAGAAGAATTGATGACGTCGTCTGACCTTCCAATGAACCAAAAATAGCCATCTTCATCTTTAAACCCCCTGTCTCCAGTGCTATAAAAATCCCCACGCTCGCTGGCTGCCGTCTTCTTAGGATCATCCTGGAAACAACCACATGTGATTCTATCACATCATCACCACCATTCTGGAACTGCAGAGCTTATCAATGCCTGCTAATTCATCCATATTAAATGTTGTACCTCCAGAAGATAAAAGTAGCAACAGAAGTAGCTCTCTTCAAGTAATGCCAGCTCCAGGATTTCATGACTCTAGGTTTGCTTTTGCCTTCCCCCTCATTACAAGCCCACCTCCTTCTCTCTGCTCTTTTGCCCATGTGCTTCTCCTCTCTACCTGAGCCGAGAGTTCATCATCACCCAAAAGAAGAAGGCAAGCCAAGTAGAAGTTACTATTCTGCAAGACAGAGAAGGGAGTACAGTCGTGCCCCGCTTTACGATTGCCCCGCATTACGATGTTTTTGCGATCGCTTTTGCGATTGCAAAACGATGGTCTGAATACGGTTTTTTCGCTTTGCGATGATCGGCTCCCTGCTTTGGGAACCAATTCTTCACAAAACGACGATTTTTGGACAGCTGACTGGCGGTTTCAAATGGCCACCAGGTAAATAAAATGGCTCCCCGCTGTTTTCTGGGATGGATTCCTCACTGCACAGGCACCGAAAATGGCCGCCCTATGGAGGATCTTCACTGGACAGTGAGTTTCCAGCCCACTGGAACGCATTGAAGGGGTTTCAATGCGTTTCAATGGGCTTTTCATTTTCACATTACGACGTTTTCTTTCTACCGCGATTTTGCTGGAACGAATTAACATCGTAATGTGAGGCACCACTGTAATGGACTCTTTTCTGGGTATCCGTAGGGAGCCTTGACTGAGTTCTGGGCCCTGGAAAGTACACAATGATCCAAACACCAACAATGCCCCTGGTTTTTAATTCCTAATTCCTGATGCTAGGAAGAGAAAACTTTTCATGGGAGGTGTATAAAACCTGAGCTGTATCTGGAGGATGTCTATTCCCTGAGAAAAGTCTAGTGAATGTAATATCACTAAATTTAGTATGAAGATAAAAGAACTGCTACATACCTTTCAAAAAAGCTTTCTAAACTGCACCCAACAATTTATACCTTAAAATGAATACTTACAACATACTGTGAGAACAGAGGAAATGGCCGTTTGGGTTTGATTCTGATAGCAATGTCTCCTTCTTTCCCCGGACCCTGAATATTGCCTTGATCATCAATAATCTGTAGGGGGAAAAAAGCATTTCCCTCTAGCTGATCGGTGTTGATTTCAAATGCATGTGGTCAGAACTCTTCTTGAACTACTTAGCTTCCTAACTGGCATAGTACAGATGGATTCCTAAAAGTTACACCAGCAGAGTGCAAGTAGTGGTAGGTTTTACAAAGCTAGTAAAGCTTTAAATATTGGCCCAGAAATATGTGGATCAAAGTGTACATTTAGGGGAATGCGTATTTCCAAAGATTCAGCTGTTTCCCCCTACACAGCTCAATTGCTCAGAGAGATAGAGTCTCTAGGCAAAGCAGACTAGCAAATTAAGCCTATGTTTACTTTCCACATGTGGGACGTGGTGGTGCTGCGGGCTAAACCGCAGAAGCCTGTGCTGCAGGGTCAGAAGACCAAGCAGTCGTAAGATCGAATCCACGGGACGTAGTGAGCGCCCGTCGCTTGTCCCAGCTCCCGCCAACCTAGCAGTTCGAAAGCATGCAAATGCCAGTAGATAAATAGGGACCACTTCAGTGGGAAGGTAGCAGCGTTCCGTGTCTAAGTCGCACTGGTCATGTGACCACAGAAGATTGTCTTCAGACAAAACGCTGGCTCTATGGCTTGGAAACGGGGATGAGCACCACCCCCTAGAGTCGAACACGACTGGACAAAAATTGTCAAGGGGAACCTTTACCTTTACTTTCCACTGACCAATCCCAAAACAATGGAAAAAGAATAAGCTTGCTCTTAGGGATTTCTGTTTCGACCCTACACACCCAGAACAACATAGTTAGAAATGGAAACCAGAGCAAGAACATTAAGAAAAAGAAACGGGGCTGGTGATTGCCTCAGTGCTCCATGGTTCCCATTAAATTCTATGCATAATGTGGATACATTGCCTTCTTGGACTACAATTCCCAGAATCCCCTAACCAGAATGACCAGGGAGTATCCTAGCTAGGAGATTCTGGGACTTCTTGTCTCTTTTCCAATTTCCACTTCTAAATAACACCAAAAAATGGGCAGGTCGACTGACAAACAGTTAAGAAGAGGAAACAGATGTGTTGAATGCTTAGATTTCGGAAATATATAGATAAATTTATCTCGATACAAAACCTGCTCATCTCAATAATGGGCATTTGACTATTTACTGAAGGTTTTTTTTTTTAAATTGGTCACTTTTCAGATATTTATGTGTATCGCTTTAGTTGATTCTAAACTGCCCAGAGTAGTGCATCTGCATGAATGGGTGGTGCACTAAATAAATAAATAAATAAATAAATAAATAAATAAATAAACAAACAAACAAACAAACAAACAAACAAACAAACAAACAAACAAACAATGTGTGCTTGTACCTGAACATCATATGGTGGACTTGGCATTCCCATGGATCCTGGCTTAATTTTCATTCCCTTCCTATTCACACATATTGCAACCTGAAAGAGAGAGAGAAAAAGCATAATACAATCAAATGAGTTTTGGGAATGGGGTTTATTTTGGTGGAGGTTGGTAACTTTACTCCTGCAAGAGCAGAACACATGGGAAGACAGAGTGATGTAGAAGATTGTATCTAACAATTATTCCTCCACCCACTGGATGCTTAAAGTCATCAGCCAATATCTGTTTGCCTAGCTACACTGGCATAACACAAGTAGTGTAACTTTTGGGGACAAACTGTCCCCAATTAAGAAATCACCATAGACAATTTTTTGAACTCTGAGTTGCACATAATGTCTATGGTGATTTCTTAACTTGAGGCAGTTCACATCCAAAAGTTACACCATATGTGTTATGCCAGCATAACTATGCAAGAGGATTTTTCGCTATCTACTTAATTTAGAGAAAAGCAATCAAAACAGAATTTAATGCTATTATTACATCAGAATGGTAACAGAAAAACAGACTCCGGGCAATTCATAACACACATATAATCAAGAAAGAAAAAAATGAATTAAAAGCTCAGTGGGATGTTATTAAGTCTTCACTGCCCATTGAATGCACAAGAGAGAGGGAGGTCTGATTCTGCTGCCTTCCAAGACCTGTAAGGAATACTAACAGGAAAAAAGGAGAGCAGATAATAGCAGAAAATGTGGGCCAGGACTGGAGTGAAGGGTCAAAATTGTAAATTACATCTATCCTTGTCTGGCTTGCAAAATAGGTTGGCTCTTGTTGTGTAGGGGTGGGTGACTGTTGCAGACATTTTTTATTTTGCATACTTTTTTTTTGCACTTTTTGCAACATGGGTAGTGTATAACTCACTGCAACAGCGCGTTTCATTGTTGGAAGTGCACATTAGACAGATTCCCAGATATAAAGCATGTAAAGATTTAGAAAGGCATACGGTTTCCGTTTGACCATATCCTTCATAGATGTCCAGCCCCGTTTGCTTCTTCCAGTTCTCATACACTTCAGGGTTAAGCGGCTCCCCTCCAGTCACACAAAGGCTCAGGCTCATGAATTTATACCTGGACAAGAAATGACGGTCATCAATAATTACAGCCACAGGCGAAGGTGCCACAAAATGATGTGGTGGTGGGGAGGTCCCCTGCATTGTTACCCTCATTCAGTCATGTTCTCTTCCACAGGAGTCCAGTCTATTCCCTCAAAAAACCCAGTTTTCCTTGGAGCGTAGCTGTAGTCTCATCGTAGTGGTTTGGACGAGTCTGCTACGATGGGTTTACTGACTCTGAGGAAAACTATTTCTCTTTGGTGCCAGAAACCTGGGCTGTGTGCACGTATACTTGCATTTTAAACTCTGTGCATGTACAGTGGGGTCTCAACTTACGAACTTAATCCATATTGGAAGGCAGTTCTCAGGTTGAAAAGTTCTTAAGTCGAATCTGCATTTCCCATAGGAATGCATTGAAAACCATTTAATCCGTATCTGCTCTTTTCATCCATAGAAACTAATGGGAAGCTGCTATTCCGCCTTCTGCCACTAGAGGGGGATATTTTTTCTTTTTTCCTTTTAACCTAAGATGACTTAGCTTTAAAAAAAAGGGGGAAAAAGAGTTCGTAACTCGAATCTAAGTTCGTAAGTCGAGTCCATATAGTCCTATGAGAGCGGTTCGTAAGTCGAAACGTTCGTATGTCGAGCTGTTCGTAAGTCGAGACCCCACTGTATGTATGTATTTACACTCAAATTAATTGTGAGGATTATTTTGAACTGCTTATTTTCAAATGCCAACATCTTACCTGCCATTCACCATTTTCCCAATCTAGCTGGTGCAGACATGCAAACTCAGCCTTCTCTGTGTGTGTGTGTGTGTGTGTGTGTGTGTCTGTGTGTTTTGCACCATCAAGTTAGAAGCGACTTATAGGTATTCTTCAGAGTCCTCTCTGTGTTTGTGTGTCTGTGTGTTTTGCGCCATCAAGTTAGAAGCGACTTATAGGTATTCTTCAGAGTCCTTGTCCTTTACTCTAGCACTACACCACACACTAGGAATCACTTAGCCTTCTGTGAGCATACATTATTTAACTAATTTTCATCCTTCTGCGTATCTTGATAAAGATAATGAGCAGTTGTATTAGCAAAGTAGTATAGTAAGACTTTCAGGTGATCTAATGGTTGTTGTGGGTTTTTCGGGCTCTTTGGCCGTGTTCTGAAGGTTGCTCCTGACGTTTCACCAGTCTTCAGAGGACTGGAGTAGGAACTCAGTCCATACTCCTACTGGAGTAGGAACTCACAGAGTATGGACAGAGTTCCTACTCCTGTCCTCTCAAGATGCCGGCCACAGAGACTGGTGAAACGTCAGGAAGAACAACCTTCAGTACATGGCGAAAGAGCCTGAAAAACCCACAACAGCCATCAGATCCTGACCATGAAAGCCTTCACGAATACATTTCAGGTGATCCTTCAGAACAGATTTTCTCTTTATTCTAAGCTTCTCATTTGATTATAACCATTTGTAACCATTTAAAGTTTAAAACTATTCTCTCATTTTAAACAGGATAAAATCTGATTTAAGGGTTTGGCAGTCTCTTCTTCTTTCCCTTTAGGGGTAAAACAGACTCAGTAAAAATGATGCCTCTCCCGCACTTTCTTTTCCTTTTTCAGATTCTTCCTATTATTGTCTGGATGTTTGACAAGTTAATTTTCTTTAACAATGTTCTTTATCCTGTTTAATTGTGCCTAGTATTTATAAACAAATAAAAATTGATTGTTCAGATATGCCACAGTTACAAACACACTTTAATGCATTTCAGCTCCGGCAATTAATATATATGATTCAATATAATACTTCTGTGTTTTGGACAGAGATGGAAAATGAGGGATTTTTATTTTCTTCTATCAATGGCCTCCCATTCCTGCTTTTCACTGAGAAGAAATGGAATCAGGTAAGAGAATCTCTTTACCAATTGTACCCTCTTGATTCAGTGTAAAGGTTTACGAAATTGATGGCACCATTTTACGACTCATACCTTTAATATATGATCTGGCTCTTAATTCTGACAATAAAGAGGCCCTCTCTGAGACTGTGCTCAAAGGAGGTTTGTTTTCTTTAAAAAACGTCTGTGGAACATGGTGTCCCTCTCAGATTCTCAAAGAGTAGGCAAAACACTAAGCAAAACTGGTTAAGAATCTGTCAGCTAAGCTATTTATTTTATCACCTACAATAAGTATTCAGGTTGTCTCCATTTGAGCGCATGTTAACACTTCCAGTACCTTGGTGTTAAAGGGATTGTTTAAACAATGTACACAATCTTAATGCTTTCCCACTTTTTTACTTTGACACATGCTTGGGAGGAGGACGTTGGAAAAGAAATGAATGAAGCCAGCTGAAATTGAACCAGGTCTACAAAGCCCCTTTCTTTTGTGTCTGAAACAATCAGAGACAACTCAGGATACTTGAAAGGTTGTCATACAGAGGAGGGGCAAGATCTGTTCTCGATCATCCCAGAGTGCAGGACACGGAACAATGGGCTCAAGTTACAGGAAGCCAAATTTAGGCTGAATATCAGGGGAAACTTCTTAACTGTTAAAGCAGTAAGACAGTGGAACCAATTACCTTCAGAGGTGGTGAATGCTCTGACACTGCAGGCATTCAAGAGAAAATTGGTCCACCATCTGTCAGATTTGTAATCCTGCACTGAGCAGGGGGTTGGAGTTGATGGCCTTATAGGCCCCTTCCAATTTCATTATTCTATGAGTGTTGCAGACACAGTTGTTCATGGATAATCTTCCACGCCCATAAAATTCTTATATATTCAAAAGCCTAGCAATAGGCTTTTCCTGGCAGGGCTGCAGAAATATAGGTACAGTGGTGCCCCGCATTACGATGTTAATTTGTTCCAGCGAAATCGCTGTAGAACGAAAACACCGTAAAGTGAAATTTAAAAGCCCATAGAAACGCACCGAAACCTGTTTAATGCGTTCCAATGGGCTTAAAACTCACCATCCAGCGAAGATCCTCCATAGGGCGGCCATTTTCGCTGCCTGTCTTGTGAGGAATCCATCCCTAAACACAGCGGGGAGCCATTTAATTTACCCGGCGGCCATTTTGAAACCGCAGATCAGCTGTTGGAAAATCATCGTTTTGTGAAGAATCGGTTCCCGAAGCAGAGAACCAATCATTGCAAAGTGAAATTCCACCATAGGATACATCGTTTTGCGATTGTAAAAGCGGTCACAAAAAATTCATCATAATGCAATTTCGTAGTTAAATGAAGCGATCGTAATGCGCGGTACCACTGTATGTACTGGCATATTTAGTCATCCTTTTCTTTATAGCTCCCTTTTGGTTCTCTGTTATTTCAGAGATTAGCATTATCACTGGAACAAGTCTTCCCATTGACCCACCTGTAGCATCTGCTACCTATTTTTTAGAAGGTACAATTTAAAAATGCATCTTTAAAACTGTCGGTCCTTTACTTATTCGTGGCACCACGCCTTCTTATGGAACAGGGTTGGAAGGATGGATCTGACATCACAACAAGCAGGTTTGCCTATGAAAGGCTCTTGCGGCACCACTGTATATACTGGAAGGATGGATCTGACATCGCAACAAGCAGGTTTGCCTATGAAAGGCTCTACATATTGCTTCACGCAAGAAGCTCTGATATTTTCACATGCTTTACAGGGGGATACAGACCCTGACAGTTTTGCTTTCCCTGTGGTGGATTCTTATGCTACACTTGAACAATCTATCTTGTTCAATTACTGTCCCTGGAAAATGCAAATTATTTTAGCACTATATGGAATTTAAAATGGGGGGGTACGCTAACCTATCAAAGTCTGGATCCATCATTAAGAGCATTGTTGGATCATCATAAATAACATCTGCCAAATGGCTGCATCATATTGGTAGGATAATTTGGTGATTACTGGCATAGTGCAGCAGCCTAGTGCTGAGCATGCAACTACAGTGGTGCCTCACAAGACGATTACCTTGCAAAACAATTAATTCGCAAGACGATTAGTTTTTGCGATCGCTGTTGCGCTTTGCAAGACAATGGTTTCCTATGGGCAATTTTCGCAAGACATTGATTTTTCCCCATTGGAACGCATTAAATAGATTTCAATGCATTTCAATGGGGAACCGCGTTTCACAAGACGTTGTTTCCTATGGATGATTTTAGCAAGATGACGATTTTTCCATTCAATTGCATTAAATGGATTTCAATGCATTCCAATGGGGAACTGTTCGCAAGACAGCATTTTTCGCGGAACAAATTAACATCGTCTTGCGAGGCACCACTGTACTGAATATGGAGAATTGTTCTATAATCTCTTAATTAAGGAAAAAGCAATGGGGGGGATTTCTGTTTATTGTAACAGATTATTCAAAAGGATGATGGAGGAGGATAGAGCTTTAAATTCGGTTACAGATGGCTGGTATGTGGGTAGGTCCACCAAGTCATTATGGGGAAGCCAATTGAGCCTGTCTCTCTATTTAAGATGGAGGAGCAAGGAGAAGCTGGAGATGACCTCAGAGAAAAGAGGAAGGAGGGAAGCCTCATAGTACCAGTCTACACAATGATCAAGAAAAGAAAACAGGCAGTGACAGCACAAATTCTCCTAATACCCGAGGTTGCCTCTGCTTCCCCCCACCCCGTTCCCTGCTACTTATGCCTCCTCTCGGTGACACTGTGTATGAACAGGGAAAGGAGAAGGAGGAAGAGGAGGATGGCTATGAAGCACTACGAACAGCCTCTTCTTTCAGTGCCTTGACCCTAAAGACTTGTAGCCAGTGATGATTCAAAGCAACTCAGTGTTGCCACAGCCACCACCACCTTTGTCAATAGTGGCAGGGGCAGAGGTCAAGGGTAGTTGGGGCCAGGTGGCGAGTAGCAACTATCTCATTCTAGCTTATTGCTGGCCTGGCTCTGAAATCTGGGTAACACTCTGGATTTCTGTCTACTCTCCTTACCACTGCCCCTTACAGATTCAAATCCCTTGCTACACATGGCAGCCACATACAGAGGTCTGCATAATTGCCTGCAATTTTGGACTCTTCTTGAAGGAATGGTAAAGGAAATGCCCGGAGGAACATCTGCCCTTCAAAAATGTCTACTGCAAGTCACAGGCAGGGAAGTACCTCGTAAGATCAAGCTGTACCAACATACGGTATCCAGTAGGAGGCGCACAAAATGTGGTGATGGGATAACTTGCAAGAGTCTAAACGGAGAAAATGAGAATATGATCATTCGTGGGGCTGAAGAATGTGAGAGATTATCATTGAGATGGTCAGGATGAGATGGAGGGCGATAATCCCCATTTCTAAAGTATTTTGTGACTATCTTGGTTTACGAAGATGCAGAAACTTAGGAGCACCTTCCCTGTAGAGACATGTAGGGTTTCTTCCCAGATTCTTTCAAGCAATTATTGGAGGTCTCATCTTATTGCAGTAAGCTGTTAATAATTAATCATCTACTTATTGATTTAACATGAATCCTGCAACAACCGTCCAACAGTCAATGCCACTGGAGGAGTTTACAAAGGGTGAAAAACAAGAGTGAATAAAACGGTCACTTCTGAAACCAAAATATTTTAACAGTGAAGACAGCAAATATTATAATGTGAAAGATATAAAAAATGACATCAGGAACCAGCATGAAAAATCTAAAAAAGCCAATGTTAGGCTGATCTCTTTCTTCAGAGCATTCCTACAGAGAAGGATCACGGCTGAGTGGACGCTTTGGTAGGTGGCCTCCTGCCACTCCACATTTGGGCCAGCAGGAGGCCAGAGGCCACCTAGACAAGGATATACTCCAAAAAGGTACTCCGGCTTTTCAAATCTGCTCTGACATTAGTCCATTGGCTTCATTGTTGTACTGCTATAATGGTAAAGAAGTTTCCCCTGATATTGTGAATTTTGTTGTATGATATACTGTGTATATACTTACNGGTTTCCCCTGATATTGAGCCTAAATCTGGCTTCCTGTAGCTCGAGCCCATCATTACATGTCCTGCACTTTGGGATAACTGAGAACAGATCTTGCCCCTCCTCTGTATGACCACCTTTCAAGAATCTGAAAAGTACTATCATATCTCCCCTCAGTCTTCTTTTCTAGAAGCTATTGCTTTTTCCTGTTTCAGCTTTAGTCTACTGTTTCCTTTCTTTTTCTGGATGTCGCTTCCAGTGTTCGGTCTTGCTGTGGATTGCCCCTGGGTCCTTTTCCATGCACTGTATGTACTCCCCCACTGGAAAATGGGCCCTTCCTTCAAAAGTAACCCATACATTGCATATCAAAGGTTGTTCTTACATTTAGGATGACTGTAGGTTCAAACTGTGGGAGATGATGAATGAAGACGCATGCCCCTCGCATCCATGGGGAAAACACACAGTTCCAGGCTGCTTTGACCCATCCCGGATCCGATAGATTCCACAGTATAGCTGAAGGGCTCAACTGCATGCAAACTCTGTTCAGTGGAAAAGAATAGATCTACAGTCAATACAGTGGTGCCTCACTTAATGATTGCCCCGCATTACGACGAAATCGCTGTACGACAATCTTTTTGCAATCGCAATTGCGATAGCAAAACGATGGTCTAAATAGGGTTTTTTTTCGCTTTGTGACGATCGGTTCCCTGCTTTGGGAACTGATTCTCTGCAAAACAATTTTTTAAATAGCTGATCAGTGGTTTCAAAACGGCCGCCGGGTGCTTAAAATGGCTCCCTGCTGTGCTTAGCGACGGATTCCTCGCTATACAGGCAGCGAAAATGCCCGCCCTATGGAGGATCTTTGCTGGACGGTGAGTTTTTACCCCATTGGAATGCATTGAACGGGTTTCAATGCATTTCAATGGGGTTTTTTATTTCGTTTTACAATGTTTTCGCTTAACAACGATTTTCCTGGAACGGATTATCGTTGTTAAGCAAGGCACCACTGTAGCTGGTTGAGGGCAGCAGAACCTGGGATGCAGGCTACATGATGACTCTGGAAATGGTGTTGCAAAGTTGCACTTTAGAGAACGTGAAGAGAGTTAGCAGAAAAAAGTACAAAGTTTACGGAGGAGAATTGGATCACAGAATAATTATGTTTCCCCTACTTTGGTACTTTTGTCATTGTTAAGGTTGGAGGGGGAAGGTAACCATGTTAAAAATAAATATGTCTTATGATTTCTTAGTCTTTAATGGTCCTTATTTGGCATGATTTTTTGCAGCCTACTGTCTACTTCATCAGATGTATGCAGCATTCATAGGGTTAAATCTGAAAAACACCAGGCATTTAATGGCTACTTTTCACCCCAAAGGCCTGCATTCATGCTTTGTGGAAGGAGCTGGTACATGTAGGACTGGGTTTTTTCCACCACCTCCAAACTCCAGCAAAATACAAGTTTGTGCATTAATGTCAGGTAACTTTCGCTGCTATGTAGAACATTTGCTGGATAGGAGCAGATCTCTGTAAGTCAGGAATGACCGCAGGCTCAACACAAGCTCTACTGAAACTCTCCAACTGACATGTGCTGTGTGCATACTTGAAGGAGTAGAACTCAGTCCATTGCCTACACTTCTGGATTTCTCCAGTTCAGCAGAAAAACTCAGCAAAGATCCAACTGCTTTCCTCTTAGCTACTGAACCTACTAGCTGCCCAGAGTAGACTTTGGTCTAGATGGGCGGGGTATAAATCTAATAAATAAATAAAAATAAATAAATAACTAAGTTGAAGGTGTTCCTTTTCATTGATAAGACTCTAATCAGCTCAGGACTTGGTTATCTGAGAATTTATCATGCCATTTGGTTTTCTTCGTACTGCCTTCTTCCATATGGACGACTTCCATAACCACAGGAAATTCCATGTATACATTTCGTATCAGTGTCAGCCAGTGGGGATGGATTTTTTAAATTTATTCCATTTTTTCTATTCTGGGAGTTCCACTTGACTTACGCACGCCTTACAGTCATCTACATGTGACTTATCTGAGAGAAAAGGCCTCAACTGGAAGGCTTTGAAGCTTAACTAGGCCTAGCTCTGCCTAGCTTCCTATTCCCAGATAGCCCTGGGGCACGAACAGGAAGTTTGGATGGATCTAGGCCTAGCTAAGCCTCCAAGTCTTCTAGCCAAGGCCTTTTCTCCCAGGTGAACCACATTTACCTGGGAGAAAATGGTGTACACAGAGAGAATCTCGTACTGCCTTCTTCCATATGGACGACTTCCATAACCACAGGAAATTCCATGTTTACATTTCGTATCAGTGTCAGCCAGTGGGGATGGATTTTTTAATTTATTCCATATTTTTCTATTCTGGGAGTTCCACTTGACTTACGCACACCTTACAGTCATCTACATGTGACTTATCTGAGAGAAAAGGCCTCAACTGGAAGGCTTTGAAGCTTAGCTAGGCCTAGCTTCCTGTTCCCAGATAGCCCTGGGGCAGGAACAGGAAGTTTGGATGGATCTAGGCCTAGCTAAGCCTCCAAGTCTTCTAGCCAAGGCCTTTTCTCCCAGGTGAACCACATTTACCTGGGAGAAAAGGCCTTGAAAGAGGAAAGTGCAAAAAACGGTCTGAAACTCAACATCAAAAAAACTAAGATCATGGCCACTGGTCCCATCACCTCCTGGCAAACAGAAGGGGAAGATATGGAGGCAGTGACAGATTTTACTTTCTTGGGCTCCATAATCACTGCAGATGGAGACAGCAGCCACGAACCTGTTCCCAGATAGCCCTGGGGCAGGAACAGGATGTTTGGATGGATCTAGGCCTAGCTAAGCCTCCAGGTCTTCTAGCCAAGGCCTTTTCTCCCAGGTGAACCACATTTAGGAATCTGTAAGGTGTGCATAGATCAGAAAGTCACTCCCAGAATGGGGAATTACAGGATATGTAGTCCAAGAAATAAAAACAATCCCATCCCTATTGTCCATCATTGCCAAGGGTGAGGGATGCCGGAGGTGCAATCCAGCAATGCTTAGAGCATTTACCTTACTTGCTGTATTCAATGACCAGTAGCCCTGGTTTTCCAGCTTAAAAATCGCTGCTTCAGATGATGTTAATTTTTTCTCATCCCACAAGAAATCTTTATGCGTTAACCAGAATGTATTCATCATATATTCCCATCGTTTACCATTATAAGGTTTGAAAACAGTCAAGAGTCATTACCTGCCAGAGATTGTCAACCCAATGCCATAACTGCAGTGGGAATGGGCTACCATTTTGGGAGTCCCTGTTGTTCCACTGGTAAAGTACATGGCCAGGACGTCTTCACTCCTTGTCTTCACACAGCTGTGGTTGGCAGATGCAGTTCTTAAAAATACACACACGACGCAATCACATTGTATGGCTTTGTCATAGCACCATTTTCAACAGTCACAACTGGAATAAATTTTCTGAATGGAATCTTAATGGTATCCACAGTAGGGAACTGAACTTCCAACCTCTCTACTTGCCCCACTGAACTAGCCAGCCAGCACACAACCATGTTTTCTTATTATTTCTTACTCAGTTTGACTTCTGGATTTGTTAGGGCAGTGGTCCCCAACCTTGGGCCTCCAGATGTTCTTAGACTACAACTCCCAGAAGCCTTCAGCACCACCTTGGCTGGCCAAGATTTCTGGGAGTTGAAGTCCAAGAACATCTGGAGGCTCAAGGTTGGGGACCTCTGTGTTAGGGAATTGGGACAAATCTGGTTGCCTTTGTGCGTGACATCAGCTGGGAACTGGACAGGGACAGTGTGCCCCCACTGATTCTGCCGGACTTCACGGTGGTATCTTTCTAGGTGTGGCCTTGAGCAACCAGCACAGTCCCAGGAAGTCCCCAGAAGAAGGCAATGGGAAGCCATTTTTGAGTAATGTCTACAGTGGGTCATCGACCTACGGAATTAATCCGTATTGGAGAAGCCATTTTTGAGTAATCTCTACAGTGGGCCATCGACCTACAGAATTAATCTGTATTGGAACAGTGGCTGCAGGTCGAGGCTCCATTGACCTACAATACACTGAAAACCAATTAATCCGTAAACGGCCGTTTTTGTTCCATTTTGTTTTTTCCGGTCTGTAGGTCGATTCTCCGGCTGCAAGTCGAACCTAAATTTTTTGGCCAGAGAAGCCTGTAACTCGAAAAATCTGTAAGTGGAGGCGTCCATAAGTCGAGGGTCCACTGTACCTGGGAAACACTGGAAAGGGTCACCATAAGCCAGAATTGACTTGATGATGAAGATTATGCCAGAGGTGGAGAACCTTTGGCTTTCCAGAGACTTTCGTTTAGATTACCCATCAGATCTACCCAACATGGTTGGTGGAAGGGGATTGTGGATGTTGTAGTCCATCAGGAGGGCCAAAGGTTTCCCATCTCTGGTGTTCCCATCACGGTTTCAGCACTTACTGCAAGAGGTCCTTGAAGTTCAGCCAGCCGTCTCGGCCTCTGTCAGACACAAGGAGCTTGGTTCTCAAGGATTTGCATTCCGATGCAATGGAGTCCACTCCGGGAGCCAAAGTCTCGCTGACCACAATACATTTGGCTTTGGAAGCCTGGAGCCTGTAGGCAATGTCCTTAGCTGTTAACTGGGATGTCCCCGGAATGAAAACAATGCCTAGAAAAAAGAAAATGGGCAATGAAATGAGAAGAGAATCCTGTCTACTATCGCTCTGCTGAACCACACAACATGTTTCTCTCTTCTTTGTTGTGATTAAATGGTTGGACTACCGCCAAGCCCACTCAGGTTCAAAGCCCTGTTGTTCTGCTGTGAAGCTCGCTAAGTGATCTTTGGCCAGGCGCTATCTCAGTTTTATGGCCAATTCAGGATCTCCATCCAGGTGTCTGGAGTTCAAGCCTCTACTCTCTTGACCTCTGACCTCCACTGCATCAAATGTATACTTTCTCTGGGAACGTGTTAGAAAAATAGCCGGGGAAAGCCCACATTGAGTCCCCGAGCAGGTCGTCGACAAACAATCCCTCTGGTTGATTTTCATTTTAGATAACACGTGGCGGCTTCACCAGACATATCTGCTTGTTACTGTGTTTGCTCTGTGTGGCTGAATGATACGTCTTTGCATAGCGTTCCCAATGTCAATTTTCCAACTTTCTTTTTTTTAAGAAAAGCATCTTATTTCACCCTGAGAATTTGGTGGCGGCAGAGGCATTGCTGGACCGCAGGCACAGATCACAGGGGTCCAAGTGTCCACACGATTTTCTTCATAAGGATGATGACCCCTGCCTCACAATTCACTTCCCCCCCCCACTGGGATTAGCGGAGCAGGTGTGAAGACTATTTCTTTGGAATAAAACTCTTTGAATGTTTGACATTCTCTAGTTTGTAGTCCAAAAATATATATCTTTTTTCAACCACAGGCTCAGTGACAATCCTCACAGTAGCAGAGGCAGTTACTATAACGAAAAGCTACCCTGACATTCTCCAAGTATATTAAAATCTAGTCAACATATACTCGAAGGAGGAAACACAGGAATGAGCTAACACGGCTATTTTCTGAGCTCACAGATGGATCGATACAGCTGCTCAAATTTTCAGCCATTCCATGGAGGCTCAGCTATGCGAACTGCCATCGAGGAGCGCCTGCACTCTTACACCTTGGGTTTCTGCTGCTGGTGGAAGTGTGGGGTCTTTTCCGTCACATTCACCAACCTGCCCGCGTGCAAGCCAGAACCAGCAACCACCATGCAGGAATCCTGGGCAGCACCATCAGGACCCGGTCGCCTCTTTGTAAGCCGCACGGACCGGAGAGGATGTTGGCAGCTTTCCTGGACAAGACGCCCAAATCCTCGTGGCTCCATTTCACCTCTTCCTTCTGGTTGTTCACCCACCAGAAGACTGTCCTCTGAGGGTTCTTTCCTTCCTAGAAGACCAAGCCAGTAGTTAAAGCAAGGGGAAAGGGGGAGGAGGCAAACCATTCACATAAGCACCAAAGTACTGTGGTGTCTCGCAAGACGATTTTAATTTGTTCTGCGAAAATCGTCGTCTTGTGAAAAAAAAAAGTCTTGCGAGGTTCCCTATGGGAACCTCACAAGATGAAATTTAATTGTCTTACGAGGCATCGGTCTCGGGAAAAAAAGTCTTGCGAAGCATGGCCATAGAAAAAATCGTCTTGCGAGGCACCATAGTGATCGCAAAAACTAATCATCTTGCGGATTAATCATCCTGTGAGGCAATCATCTAGCAAGGCACCACTGTATCATGTCATTTTCAAATTTAAAGAAATGTGTGGTAAACAGTGAAGGGGAAGCACAGCTAAGATGGACAGAAGGATCAAAGAACTGTCATATGTAGAGATTGGCTCTTTCAGGGCTGGCCCTACCATGGGGCAGTGTGAGGCAGCTGCTTCAGGTGGCAGACACTGATGCTTGATGTGCAACCTGTTTTGCTCCCTGTAAACTCCCATCTATGGCCAGGATTGGAGACAAGCAATCCAGAACGTTTTTTGGACATGGAATGGGAAACGACACCCATCTTGTCTTCCAACTCCAGGAGCAAAATGTCTTGAGCTTGCTCAAGGAGTTCCTCCCTCTGTCCCTCGCGGAGGTCACAGAAGGACACCCAGCACCTCCTTGCCTAGCAGCTCTGGAGGTGGCAGAAGCCCTACCTTTTCCAACTCTGTCCATTTGTCCATAACGTCGCTTGCAAAATTGAAGTACTCGGGCATTTCCTTTTCACCCTGGTTGATGGCCTCGTAGTGAGAGGCGATCGGAGAGGCCAGGTACCTCTTGGCTTGGTGAAGGAATCTGCGGGGTGCTCTCAGGCTCCAGAAGAACTTAAACAAGGCCATGGCGGTGCAGGCACAGGCAGCAGCTGGAGAAGGCTGACTTCTTTAGTTTCTCTGCAAAAATATATGTTCAAACAGGTGAAGGAACATCTGGAGATCAAAAACTGTGCTGCCTGCAAGCCACATATGGCCTGATAGACATGTGGCTCATTCCAAGTCCCTATCATCATGGAAATTTAAAAAAATCACTGGTTGGTCTTTTGTTTATGGAATGCCAAGCCCAGAATGCCACAAATGTATATTCATTGAGCTCAGAATTGGAAAACTGTCCTCCTCAAAGAACAAACTGATGGAGAAAATGAACCAAACGCCTAAACTGCTTCAGCCAAGCTTTCATTAAGCTCCTTTTGGGGGGGTGGGGCTTCCATTTTCAGCTTCAAGTGTTGGCCAGACCAGCTTAACACCAAACTTGTTTGCATGTTGTGCAGGGCTAAGGTTACAATTGATCTCTACGTGGCAGATGGAGAGCAACAGGAGCCAGTTCAACTGGAAATGTTTACAAATCACCTCCAAAATGCAATTCACCTTGGATGAAGCTGCATTAATCACAGCCCCTCAGGCCACACCGGACTTACAGAGAAGCAAACCCTGATATATACAGAGCTGATCCAAATAGGATTAACCCTTTCCCCGCTGTGTCCCATCTTTCGGGAAGCTACCCCATCTATGGCAGGTGGTCCTTTCCAAGGGCCGAGCGCGGGCATCCTTCTTGCTTGGACGAGGACTGCCAGAATCCTCCTCCGGCCAGCCGCGACCGGGCGTTGCAAAGCAAGACGTGCGCTTTTCTTATTTGGCGGAAAGTGCGGCGGGTGGCAGCCGCCGTCTCAGATGCCCGCAGCCTGCGATCCCGTCCGCCTTGAGCCTCTCTGCTGCTTCCTCTCCGGGGGCTCACCTGGAGCCACCTCTGCTTTGCTTTGGAAGGAGCGATCCCAAGCCCCGGACAAAAGGGCAAGCAGCCTGCTGCGCTCCCGGGGGATTTGCGCATCCCAAACCCCGGGCTTGCAAGCCTCCCTCCTCTCCTTTTACTCACCGGGAAGGAGAGCAGAGCAGGGGCTCTCGAGGGCTCCCGGGCGATCCTCCGCCCGCGTCGGCGATCGCCCTTCCCCAAAACTTCCTATTCCGTGCCCCGAATTACTTTCTTTTTTCGCGTTTTAGTTCCTGCCTGCGGATGGGGCTGGGCG